GATAATAAAAACCTCACCAATGCAAATCGCATATCAACCTTTGTCTCTCTCCATACAACTCGTCATCTATCAGCTGCAACGCTAAAAGCAAGATGAATTAAAGGCAGAAAAACTATGGTGCAGAAGGAATGACATCGCACAAGATATACACAAAATGATAGTAGAAGAAGAAATCTAAGGAAAAAAAAACACAAACCCCACAAAGAAAAAAAAACTAAGATAATGAAAAACTCACCCGTAGAAATCACAGATTAACCTTTGTTTCTCTCCATACAACTCGTCATCTATTTGCTACGACGCTAAAAGCAAGATGAATTAAAGGAAGAAAAACTATGGTGCAGAAGGAACGGCGCCGCACAAGATATACATGAAATGATAGTAGAAGAAGAAATTTATGGCGTCTGCTAGTGGTTGATGTACAACAGACGTACGCGCTTGAGCTTTGTACATAGGATAGAGTGGAGGTCTTGGGTTGGAGTGCAGGAGCGCTCGATCCAATCTTCAGGTGTAGCGATCCCAACAGAAGTAGCATAAAGAGAAGGGAAAAGAAATACGCTTATTATTTTTAATATATATAGCACAAATCGGGAGAAAATAAAGGGAGGGTATGGTGATATATATTGTACATGGCCGGAATATTGAACGCTATTGTAGACACGATCAAGGACATACATGACAAAAGTTCATCCTGTCCTCTCTCAACTCCAAGGGACACGATCGAGACGCCAGACAGAGGGAATGCCGGAGGGTCTCGTACCAAATATAAGCGATGTCGTTGTAGACATAGATGGTGGTTGTTCTCTCCAAGAAGTTCAGAAGAGAATTGCGGAATATATAATATGTAATAATAATTGATTGCTAATTTTACGAAATTATATATGGTTAATTAATAAAATTAATTATTTTAGTAAAATAACTTCTAGTAAAATACTACACATATTACTCTGCTTAATATACCATCCTAATATGCATATATGGTAAATATGCAATCTAATCTAATATATGCTATACACATATTTATAGTAACCTAATTTATATTTAATTAAGCTAATTAGTCATACACTACTACCTAATCATTACCTAATAACCTAATATATATTATTCACCTGGGTGAGGTTCTAGTGAGGTTTATGTGTTAGGTGAGGTTTGAGGATAAAATCTCGCCCTTAGATGAGATGATCTAACGGCCCAAAAATGATGCCTAGATGGAATTCAAACGCCACTAACGCTGCGTTTTTACTTCATTAGTAATTAAGTTGGGGGTAAACAAGTAATTATACTCTTAATTGTGCAAGACAAAGAAGGAAATCCCTTTGTTTACGGGTCTTGACAGCGTAGGGTTCGAAGTTGGTAATACTAAGGAGACTGACGGTTTTGCACACTGGAGAAACTTGGAGCAGACGAACCGACAGCGCCAACGACGAACTCCGACCGGCGACTTCAACACCGGACTCAATGGCTGACGAAACCCCAAGGCGGAGCACTCGGCATGCGTTGATCGATGCAACGAGCAGACTGCGTAAGTGGTTTTTTTTTAAATAAATAGTCTGATTTTTTAGGAGCGATTGAGTGCAAAATGCAATTGCATGTATGTGTTAGGGAACCGGAGAATGGTGGGTTTGATTTGGGGAAAAAAAACCGTGCGTGTAGTTGTTGATGCCGGCTGAATCGCCGGAATCTGAAATACCGGCAGGGTTGGGGGAGAAATAAACATGAATAGGGGTATAGTATTGTGAAGTTTCCGGTGAGAACCTCCGTATGCGGTGATAGACGATGGTTGTTCTGTTTTTTTTTTGTTTTTTTTTATATTTTTTTTACGACTACCATCAGTGGAAAACATGGCTGTGTAGTTGACCGGTTGTGTAGAAGCGCGGTGGTGGTATGGTAGAAAGCACAAATCATAAAACTGTTGTAAAATGTTTGGTGTGCATAGTAGGCTGGTTGTTTTTGAAACTGTGATTGAAGGGGTTTATAAAACTTATGCAGTGTAAAGCTTATGTAATGAGAGGTAGAGATGATGTTTTTCTGGCTGTTTGTGTTATTTTTCTGAGCCAAATTGTACCTGTGTGCACATTTGCATTTGAGATTAAAATATGAATGGATAATTTTGTGCATAAAAAGGGAATTTAGAACACATAGCATGAACACATGATTGGCTGCAAATTTTGGTAATAGAGAATATGGGGACCACAATGCAGCAGATGGGGAAAGAAACAATTAAGGTATAGGACAATAAAAGATTGGCAAAAAATTTGTATTGTTCGAACTGTCTGCACTTAGAAATGAATTTAAAAAAATAGACTAAATGGGACCCCCAACCTGCACCATAGAAAGCAATTAAAAGGATAATAAATGGGACCCCTTACCTGCAACCATATTTAAATAATGTATGAAATTTAATGAAAGATATTAAATATATGCAATGAAGAATTAGGCATAATAGTGTATTAAAGTAAATGTGTTTAACTGTGCATCTGTCTGAGCTTGTTATACAGCCCATATGTATTATAAACCAACATCATTCGGCATTTTGTTTGCATACTGAGCTATGCCAACTATGGTTGTTCATTGTGGTGAATATTTGTGCAGGGAAGAAGGCAGAAATATCAAAGGTGCAGCCAAGTGTTGTGAGTGATCCCAACCTTGATGAAGACTTCGTAAGCCCACCAAACGCAGACCGACAACTGCAAAGACAGAATGCAAATGAGTGTTCAGAATACGAACTACTACCTGAAGAGGAGGCACGGTTTCCAAGATTCGAGACCAGGGCTATGGCAAAACACCTCGTTGAACCCATGAAAAAATTTGGATTGCTTCAAAGGAATGCAGTCAGGGGTCTGGGCTTTGGGGATTTGTTGAAACTGAAGATCGAAGACACGCCTCTACGAATGGGGCATTGGTTGATGAAGAACTTTGACGGGAGTTCAAAAACAATAAATTTAGGACATGGTCGGATGCTACAGATAAAAGAAGAGGATGTGGAGGCAGTCCTTGGATTTCCATGAGGACCCAGGCATATTAAAAAGAGGAGTCGGAATGCAAAATGTGCCGAGCTCGATGCATGGAGAGCACAATACGAAAAGGGGGACCACACAATAACCCCTTACATGATAGGGTTGTTGTTAAAGGAGCAGAAAGATGGTGGAATTTGGTTCAAGAAGAACTTTGTGGTCCTAGTGGCAAGCATCCTAATTAGCATCCAACAAAATGGATATGCAAATCAATCAATCATGCACGAGCTAAAGGGCGTGAGCAAGATAAGGGAACTGAATTGGTGCAAGTATCTGATTGACGAGCTAGTTGAATGTCACAACAAATGGGTGACAAAGCAGCATAAAAAATTTACTGGACCATTGCTATTTATAACGGTAAGCACATCATTCTATGTGTAATTATTTGTAGTTTTAACGTAAGGTTAAATGGTAATACGTGTATTGAGGTTTTGATTATAATAATAACTACTATTACCCTGACAAATGAAAATGCCGATGCTGTACGTAGATAAAGTTGTGAACCCATGCCGATATGTAGAGCGAAACAGGCCAGCATTCATAGGCTGGACTGCAAAACTGTTAAACGAGCGTGAGTTTGCCGAGATAAGAGCAAGCGAGTGTAATGAGCAACACAGCAAAAGCCTCCAAAGCTCACCACTGTACGGCAAGGGAGTGTTCACGCAATTCCGTTAAGCAGTAAGATGTGTGATTGGGCATTTGTTTTTTTGACGACTTTAAAAGACACGACAACAATTAAATGTTTAGAAGTTGCAAGAATTTTTTTGCTATGGACAACTATTTTTTTGGTAAAGATGTGCGAAATGCAGATGCATGATTTTTATTTAAAAGACTTAGACGTAAAAGATAAAAAACTATGTGCATCGCTGTAAATGCATACCACGCATGAATTTGTGCATCAGTGGAGTACACCAGTGTGCAAATACATTACATATGGATGAATCCGTATGTGCATCGCCGGCTACTATATTAATGCAATGATAAATGGCAACCAACAATAACCCATAGACCGCTAAATAGATTAAGACACGTTCAGGTGATGTGCACCTAAACAGAAATAGTAAATGCAACACGGTAGGGAGGCATCGCCGCGACAGTAATAAACCAACTTAACTTCGAAGTTATATTAAAATGCATGTTCAGAAGACACCCGGTATTCGAAAAAATATGGTAAATCGAAGGAACCAAATAACACTCCTAACCTAAACTGTGTGTTGGGGGGAAGTTAACAAAAAGGGGAATCAAAAATAAAACAGACAAACGCGTATAGTCATACATAGTACATATGAAGTGTTGTGCAACATTGATGGAAGCATATGTGCATAGGTGCACAAAAATCCAGTCACCTTGTGCACCGACAACGAACAGTACTGTGCAAGTGGGATGTGCTGCATGACACTCGGTAGGTGAGTCGTCGGTGCACCGGTAATAAAGCAACTTAACATTGAAGATTTAATAACAGGCATGTTTGCATGACACCCCTTAGTCAAAATAATTTGGTACATCAAAGAGACCGAATGTGCAAGACACCACTCAAAAACAGATACAATATCACAGTACCTAACATAAACTGTTCATTAGGCGGGTGTTAACCAAGAGAGGAAGCAAAATAAAAAAACAACGAAGGCGTATAGTCGGTTACTGGACAAATGAATTGTTGTGCAACATCGACGGAAGGATTCGTGCAAATTCGCACAAAATTTCAGCAACCATGTGCAACGGCAGAAACCTATACTGTGCAAGTTAGGGGTGGTTCCGGAATAAGAGAAAAAAGAATGAAATAATACAACGACCAACTTATATAAAAAACGGATAATATAAAATTATTTCACGGAATAGAAACACAAAAATCCAATTAACAAAACACACCAAATCCATTTTTGAAAACCACCACAAAATGCGGAATAAAACCAAGTCAGTAGTGAAGTAAAAAACATAGCAATGTGTTTAAATTTAAATTTAATCCAAAGAGCAGTACAGCCCCCTTCATCATACGTCAACGTTGCGCATCGGGCAGGTACGACTATTATGCCCATACTTTTCACACGTTTGGCATTGGCGTTGGCGATGACCCGACTTTTCAATAGCTAATTCCCTTGTACTTTTGTAACGTTTGCCACCACCCTTGTTATTAGAGATTGGAGGAGGACGAACATCAACTTGACCATCAGGCGAAGCACCGCAAAACGACTCAAAAAGTTGCTTCTTAGAAGAAGAAGAGCGAACGCTAGGACCATTCTCAGCCAATAAAAAAGCATTGAAATCTTTCAAAGCTGCATTCAACTTGGAAACATGATCAACACTCCGTGATGCCATGGTCACGCACGAAAAAAAATCAGCCCACGCTTCACCAATTGCGACATCTACCTCCGAAGCGCCCCCACATTGAACACCCAACACCTGCCGCACACAAGCCCCCATTGTCCAACGTGCGATCAAATACCGAGAAGGGATAGAAACAACCCTACGATCCTTGAAAACCTAGAAAATATGACGACAAAGTAACCCAACCCGTGAAAACATGTTACACGTGCACTCTACAACAACATTACCAGAATCAAAAGTCACGGTGCGCACCAGTTCATCACCATCTTGAACCTCATACCAGGTTACCATCCCTTCAACATTTGAACGCACAGAGCGACACGAAAAAGATCCCGCAATAACCTCGGCTTGCACATCATAAAAAACATTGACAGTATACACCGCAGCAGCATGCTTCTCAATCAACAACGGAATCTGGCACAAAGGAAAGTGGCCCTCACATTCGGCATTCAGTTTGGCCTGCGCCAAACGTTGAGCATCAATAGCCCCTTCAAAATTGTTGAACAACTCAAACAAACTAGCATGCTGGTTTGTGCAACTACCAAACACACTATTCGCAGCTTCGGACCTAGATGTCATGCGAAGCAAACCACCTATGAAAATATCATTAAAATACACAAGGATCCAATACGATCTCAGCTCATACATAAGACAAAACCATCGGTGGTCACCAAGGCTATACTTTTCTATAACGTCCTGCCAACCCCGCTCAAACTCCTCCACGGACAACGTCTCACACCAAGCAACATCATTCAACGCACGTCGAAACTCCTCATCTTTAGATAGAACATTACCAACCTTCTCGCTAACCTTTGACATTATATGCCACATACAAAACCTGTGCCGCGTAGTATCAAACACCTGTGGGACTGCAACCCGCATCGAAGGATCTTGATCAGTGATAGTGCAACTAGGCACACAACCCATTGCACTTTTAAATTGCTGGAGAAGCCACACGTAAGAGTCCACATCTTCACGGGAAATCAACCCCATTGCAAATGTGACGCCTCTCTTGTGATTATCAACACCAGTAAACGGAACCAATACCATACCATACCTGCAAGACATAACACCAAACCAACAAAAAGAAACCCCATGGTTTTTAGCATACTGCATGCACAAATACATAAGAAGAAACTGCACATACCAGTAATTTAAAAAAAAAATCCAACTACACGAAAGTTTTTTTTAAGAACACGTGGCTTACCTATTAGTCCCATAAGTTGCATCAAACGACACCACCTCTCCAAAAGCTGAAAAATTTTCCTTCGCAATAGGGTCAGCCCAAAAAGCCCTACATAACTGATCCTGAGAATCTACATCATATCTAAAGACATAATCCGGGCAATCACCTACCTTCTTAACATATTTTTTCACAACAATATGAGCATCTAAAGTTCCAATAAATGCCATTAAATCACGCTTTAAATTTTTAAAATCGACACATGTCGCACCAACATTTGAATACGACCCAGCAAACTCCCTAGCCAAACAAAACGACCTATTGGGCCCAACGTTGGCCCTAGCACACTTAAGCACAAAAATCTGATGTTGCACTGTAACACCCCGTGTTACGACCCCTAAAACCAATTAATCATTTAACCAATTATCCAAAGAAATAATTAAATTACAATAATTAATTAGGAAAAAGCCCACCATAGTCCGTGGGCCCTCATCTCTAAACCCAACCCCTAGTCCTAAAAGGAATAGAGTTAGCAAGCCTATAGTATTTGGGCCCTAATTAGGACTCTTAGATATATAAATAGGGGACATATGAGGCACCTAGAACCCCCACCACAATAATCTCTCACCACACAAGGAGCTCCAAGAATTCCCCTAGGAGAAATCAAGAAAGAAGAAAGACTTAAAGAAAGATCCTTCATAGCCAAGGAAATTAATTAAGGCTAAGAGGTAACCCATGTCTCAACAAAACCTATTTTCGTAGCTATGATTCCCCTCTTAGGCTTTCCCCATATTCCTGTGTGTTGATGATTTGTTATATTGATCTTGACAATTGGTGTTATGATTCCATGGGTAATCTTGATGATCTTGATAATGAAAAGAGGTTCTTGATGATTATATGGTGTTCTTGATGATTATATGATGTTCTTGATAATTGTATAATGTTCTTGATGTTTATGTGGTATCCCTACCGAATCTTGACATTAGAATATGAATTGTGTCCTTGTTGATTTAAAAGTAATTAGAACCCTAGGTTGTATCGTAAAACTCGTGTGGTACTATTCTTGGTGTATTGGGTGGGAATTCGCATGTTTGGGTGTTGATTATGTTTAGAAAAGCATGATAGGTTATGTGCCGTATGCTTCTTGTTTTTGGATCCGTTAATTGTCTACGTGTTGTTGTCAATTGCGTTTGAAAGTGTCTAAGCATGGTTTCGGGTTCCACAATGGTTCCCGGGGCGTTTTCTGTGATGAAAAGAGTCAGTGGGGGGTAGGGGACCCGCCACCTACCCGCGGATAAAGATGGCGTCGCCGGCAGCGGGCAGCTACCCGCCGGGCACCCGCTGCCCGAAAAGGCTGCAGCCGGCGGGTGAACTCTCACCCACCGGCTACGCGCTGGAAAAATACCCAATTTGGGATTTTGGCTTCCCCGTTTGATGTTCCCCCGACCCCGTGGTGTCCCAACGGACTCCGTCTATCGTGCCTATGTCTAGTTTGATATTTCGGGTACCGTTCGTAGGTTGTATGAGTCTTATATATTGCATGCTAGTTGAATTGGTATCCCGTTGACCTAGGTGAAAGAAGTATGAACCCCTTAGGATTATTCTTAGTATGTGAAGGATCACGCATAGGTTTTGTTATACGTTTTCTCCCCCTTCCCAATGTGTTAATGTGGGTTGCATGTGCTTGCTATGTGTTATGTGTGCATGATACCCCAATTCGGTTGTGATCGGATTGGTTATTCCTGAGCTGCGGTCAGATTTACACTCTTGGGCTGCGGTCCACCGTTTGGTTGCGATCAAACGTTTCTACATGAGTTGCGGTTCATATTTCCTGGCTGCGGTCAGATGACATACTCTTGGGCTGTGGTCCACTGTTTGGTTGCGATCAAACTATGATGAGCTGTGGTTCATCGGTTGGTTGCGATCGACCCCTCCGTGTTGCGATACGGGGCAGGGTGCTGCGGGGCCGTGTCAGAGCTATATGCGCCGACCCTCATGTATGGGCATGCGATTGGTCCTGTGGCGCCAACAAAGTGTGCTATGTGATGAGATAGGGATGGTTTGATTGTTATGGTTGTTATGAAAACGTGACCATAGGATACATGCTAGTAAACTGTATATGCTTGATTATGACTATTGGCTGTGCTTATCTCTATCTGTCGAGTCTGTCTCTCTATGCTTGTGAATTGTATAACTGTTGATTGTGCTTATCCCTATCTGTCGAGTCTATTCCTCGTTTTAAAAGCTAGAGTCTCTTAGGATATATCTTCATGCTTCGAAATGGTTTTCCTTATATCTATATATATGCCTATATGTATTGTATTTCAACGCGTTGGAGTGGGTTACCAGCATCTCTCGCTGAACAGATATATTTGGCTTTCAGGCACAGAGGAGTAGACACTGGAGCGCGCTAGAATCTTGGAGCGTAGAAGTAGATAGTTTCCCTTTCGGCCTGCGTGCCATGCTTATGCATTTACATTATTGAGGATATTAGTTAGTTAGCCTGTGCACCTGAGTTCTCTAGCTCAGGTGTGGCATAGCACCCTGTACTATTTATATTATGTTTGGGATTTAATGAGAACTTAACTTTATTATATAAGTTTCAAAAGTTTAAAAATTTCGGGGTGTTACATGCACATCCATGGAACGATTACCTCGCAAGAAAGGCTTAGCCACATCCGAGCACAAACAATGATTATGCCGGTGCTCAATGAAATGCACCACAAAAACCCCATCGTCAACCATCTTCAACACCAACATCGCTCTGCAACCCACCCTATTTGAAACACGCCGGCGCTTCGGAGCCACAGGTGCTTGATCCGACGCAGCATCTATAACAACAGAGCCCTGCACCGCCTGCTTGAACCCCTCACGCGAACAAACCAACAAGTCTTTCACAACAACACCCTCTCTATTCCTACGCAACGAACTACAACGTACATCAAAACCACGAGAGACGCATACTGACGATAAAAATCAATACCGTGAGCGAGAGAAAGAAAAGTCTGCCCCTCAAAAAGCCTAACCGCCTCATCACACGAAGGCGTCCAAAACTTAGTCCCATCGGGGGACACGTCCATAACACACCCTTGCAGCGATTCCGACCGTGCTGCACAAACATCAAACAGAAATATACACACAAACACAAAAGCAGTCAAATAAAAACGACATGCATAACATTCCAAAATAAAAAAAAAAAAAAAAAAACAAGCTGCTTGCACATATCAAATAACAAAAAATGCACTTTACGAAGAAAACCCCTACCCCCTACAAACCAAAAACCTTCAAAACCAATATAAAATGCAAATGCCATGTACACCGAAATGCACAAAACTAACAACATAATATCCTAACAGCGAACCAAATCCCGGCACACACAAGCCATGTTGTCAGACCACCACCGAAATCCATAAATTAGCAGAACAATCTATAACCAAACACATATGCCAATGGCACTTATTAAAAAACGAAAACACGCACATATCAAATACCAAAACATGCACTTTACGAAGTTACCACCCACCACCCACCACCCACAGAACAAAAACCTTCAAACCAATATAAAATGCAAAAACCATGTACATCGAAATGCGCAAACTACCAAGCCAATATCCTATCATGAAACACAAAACCAGCACACATAAGCCATAATGTCAAACAAATACCAAAATGCATAAATTAGCAAAACAATTTATAACGAAAAACATATGCCAATTGCACTTATTAAAAAACGAAAAACACAAATACAACTACGACATAAAACCAAACCAAATAAACAATCACTAATCCAAGACCCACGACTTATATATAAAAATTAAAACTCCATAAATAACATCAAACCACAACACTTAAAACGCGTGTCATACAAATAGACACATACTTATACACAAACCAAACACCAACCGATGCTCAATAAAGATATACAAGGAACAAACAAAAAAATTAACCTGGAGAATCCATAAGCCTTCACGCAGAGAAAGACGAAAAAATTGAATAACTATGAAACGATGCAAGGAAAAATCACAAAAACTAGAAACTGTATAAAGTGGATCGCTACATCAGAATATAAACACTCAAAATCTTTATTTACCATGTATAAAACTCCTAAAAATGAGCAACTCAGCCGACGAAGACACCCAATAAATAGGAAAGAAGAACACAAAGACAAAAATGACCTTACACACTCACGCGGCAAAAGAAAAAAAAAAGACAAAATAAAAACTCAAAAAAACAACAACCATAGATCAACGCACAATCAAAGGCCAGATTTTGACCTTAGACCTCATGTGGGAACATGACCTCATATGATCCTCTATATATATATATATATATATATATATATATATATATATATATATATATATATATATATATATATATATATATATATATATATATATATATATATATATATATATATATATATATATATATATATAGAGAGAGAGAGAGAGAGAGTTAATACCCAAAATTGTCCTCGACTATAGTGGTTTTTATAAATTTTGTCCCAAACGACTTTGGTGTCCTAAACTAGTCCCAGACTTTTGTGTTATTACTCAATATTGTCCTCCGTTATATAATCTGTCAAATGGGTGTTAAATATAAGGTTAAATATGTAATTTCAATTTTGGTCTTCTAGGGATCTTCTTATTTCACCGCGCCAAAAGGGTCAAAAATATTTTGACCGAGAATTCGCCAAGCAATAATTCGACAATCTCTGTTTATTCGAAAAAAATATTTTGACCCAGGGGCTGCGACTGCGGTCGATCTGCTCAAGCAATCTGTGTTCATGTGTTTAGCAATCTGTGTTTCCCAGAAATTCGCCAAGTAAATTTGGCAATCTCTGCTTACCAAATTCTTCAATCTGTGTTCATGTTTTACCAATTTCACCAATCTGTGTTCATGGGTTTATCAATTTCACCAGATAAATTCGCCCAACGAAAACCCTAAGGAAGCAAAGCAAATTTCTTCCCTACATTACAATGGATTCAAGGCGACGGAAAAGGGGCGGAGACACTCCGAAATATTGTAAGCATTTTGGTTTGTGTGAGCTTATATATATGGATATGTATGTACTATCAAAGCATAAAGTAGTATGCATATGTATGTATTGTGGTTTAACTGTCAAAGGGGACATAGTGAATTAGTAATTTGTGTTTTGCAGTAATAGCAGTAATGATTATGGAGTTTGAAGTCGCAATCTGTGGAGTAAGCATTCCTTGTTGCTTCCTTCCTTTCAGTTCAAATCTCGTTGCCTCGTTCTTTCTTCAGTCAGGTCATCAAATAAATATGGAGTTTAATTTGCAGTCGCAATCTGTGGAGTAAAGGAGACTGAGTGAGAGAGAAGACCAAAATTGAAATTATATATTTAACCCCATACTTAATACTCATTTCACAGATTATATAACGGAGGACAATATTGAGTAATAACACAAAAGTCTAGGACTTGTTTAGGACACCAAAGTCATTTAGGACAAAATTAAGAAAAATCACTATAGTCGAGGACAATTTTGGATATTAACTATATATATATATATATATATATATATATATATATATATATATATATATATATATATATATATATATATATATATATAAAAGTAAAATCCTCCTAGCCAAGTTTTCCCCCAAAACTTAGGGGCATTTCTATAATAATAATAATAATAATAATAATAATAATAATAATAATAATAATAATAATGTTATTAACTTAAATAAATAAATTATTATACTTTCCTTTTGAATTAGTATTTTCTACCTATAAATACAAATTTATAATTGGAAAAATGACACTTTTTCCCCCTGAGTTATATACCTATAGCATTTTTTTCCCCTAAATTATTGAAGTGGTTGTTTTTCCCCCTGAAATGTTAAATGGACATATTTACCCTTAAACTAAATATTTAATTTATTTTTTTCTCCAACAAATTATGTCATAATTTGGTTCAAACCAAACAAACACTATAGCAACCAAACCGAAATATTCCAATTACAATTTAGAATCGAAATTCGATATTTAGAGTTTATTAAAATCGTGAACCGGAATGGACGGTTCATGTTTCGAACTGAAAAAATAAAATACATTTATTGTTGAATTTAGACTATTTTAAAATAAAAAATAAAATTTTAAAATAAAGACGGTTCAAAATCGCGAATCGGATTCGGAACCGCCGGTTCACGGTTCAAGATTCAATTTTTTTGATACATAATTTTAATAAATTGACATTTAAATATTGGATTCTAGATCTGAATTATAACCGGAAACTATTAATTCGATTGCTTTACTATCCGGTTCAATTCAAACCGAACCGTGGTCATCCCTACGTATACGCAATAATTTGTTGGAGTAGTAAAATAAATAAAATGTTTACTTTAAGGGTATAAATGTCAATTTAATATATCATGGGGAAAAAGCACCACTTTTAGAATAATTGAGGGGGCTAATGTGCTTACCTAAATAATTGAGGGGGGAAAAGTGCTATAAGAATATCACTCAGGGGTAAAAAGTGTCATTTTCCCTTTATAATTCTTTTAATCCCTAGTCTCCCCATCATTTCCTTCTCCACATCGGTAGAGCTTCTCCACCCCGTATCTTCTCTATCATTTCATTGACTTTTGTTAATCATCCTGTGATCTTCCACAGTTGAGGCTGATACGTGATTTGCACGGGTGAGGTTTTCATTATCTTAGTTTTTTTTTTTTTCTTTTTGGGTTTTATTTTGTTTTTGTTTTTGTTTTGTTTTGTTTTAGATTTTATGATATTTAAATAAGAAAAGTGATTTGTAATAAAAATGTTGATATATTCTTTTTTTTTTTTTTTTGTGGAGAAGATACAGATCTAGAAAGATTGATCGGGAAGTAATAGAGTTCGTTGCTCATCAAGTGGATAAAGTTGGGAGAGGGACAGATTATGTGTATATGTAAAGAGATATAGAGGGAAGCATGATAAGAACACAGTAAAACCAAAATGAAATTCAAAGCATTTTTTAGTTGTTAATATATCAAAGCATTGAGCTTTGTTTCGATTCAATCTCTTCGTCTTTAAAGTGTGTATTTTCTGTAATAAGAGAGTAGTTTGTCTAGCCCTTCAAGAGATTTTTCTTGCCATTTAAACATTTTTATTGGACAAAAAATTATGAAGTACTGTAGCTTAGTTTGAATAGAGTATTATTTTGATTTTATTCTTTAGCTGACATCCCTTGATTAAAATCACTTTTCTAATGTGAAATAATGTTATTGACTTACCATGTTTGCTTCGATATGCTAAGCCATTTAAAATATAATAAAATTTATTATTGTAATATTTTCGTAATAATATTGAATAAATATTAACCATATGTTTAGATTTAATAATATATTATATTAAAATAATTATATATTAATATAATATAGTGATGGTTAATACGGGTAAATCACATATAAGCATAATCTAATATAGAAAAATATTCATTATTAATCATATATAACTTAGGGAATAAATAAACTTATTGAAACTTAATTATTTATAACTTCAACTTTAAACTAAATATATAGTTTTAATATCCGAAATTAATAAGGTTTTCTTAATGTGGATCTATATATTTTTAATAATTTCTATTTAATAATATTATACCTTAATTATAAAAATTATACCTAACAACTTTAGTATTACATGGCATAAAATAATTACCATAAATAATATTTTATAATTGACAATTTGTATTAGGCAATAAAAATTAATAGTTAATTATTAAGTCAATTATAAAATCTTTTGTACTGTGAGTAAATTATTTTTAATTATTTTGATTTAATAATATTATATCTTATTTATAAAAATTAAAAGTAATACTTTTAGTACTATAGATGTGACTAATAATTAAATTAAGGCAGTTAATATGTATTTACAATAATGAATATTTTCCTAAAGTATATACATACACAAATTATGTTTATCAAATATAGAATTAGAAGTGTGTGTGTGCGTGTGTGTGTGTGTGTGTATATATATATATATATATATATATATATATATATATATATATATATATATATATATATATATGCTTCGAATCTGGTGCACCCCCTAATTATATGATCCTGTGAGATCACTTGATATCCATAGATTGATTCCAAATCAATGGTTGAGATCATGAGATCTCTTAGAATAAAATAAAGATATATCATTAAGTAAGGGTGTTAACAGTAATTCTACCTAGTGGCCTAATTATGGTTAAAATTAATATGGGAAGCTAAGCACGATTTAAGGGATATTAATACACTAAATATATATGGGGTGATACATCACATGGGAAGGGCCAAAAAAACGCGCGAGACATTCCAGGTATGAAGCCGGACCGGCGAGGCGCGCAGACAACATCTACCATCGCAGGTGTGTGCATTACAGGTACACGGTTTGTGCGTTTTCTGCTATTATAATCGTTTGTGAATGTCTTGCGAGTTACGAAGTTTTAACAGTAAAAACGGCTACAAAATATATGTGTGTTTGTGCGTATATATGAGATTGCAAAGAGTGTGAAAATCAGTATATACACCAACCATTTCCGTTTTGGGAGGCTGTTTGGGTATAATGTGGTATGTACCGACGAGTGCGTGGAAGTACAATATGTTAACCAAACTGATGGGTATAATGTGACAAATGTGAATGTGAGCTGCTGTGTATGAATATTAGAAACCGCATCACATATGCGTATGAAGGGGAAGAGGTTTTTTTTTTTTTTTTTTTTTTTTTTTTTTTTTGGTTTTTCCTCTTCTCCAATTTCCAATTATGGCCGGTGGATGGTTTTATGGTTACACAAAGAATATTTATACTTGTGCGTATTGCCTCAATTGCGTTAGTATTGGTTGATGCATGATACTGTAACCAGAGAGACCGAGTTCGGTTGTGATGGATGGTGCACGGCCGTATGAAGCATTGTGCATCACGCCTATCATGAGTCATCCACAATATGGTCTTTTATGTAGTGAACTTTGTGTTATTTTGGTTAGTGCATGATAGATTATAGTCTTGTGCACTACGCCTATAATGAGTTTACATAAATGCGATCATTGTGTATACTTAGATTTGTTTCAGTGGGTGCATCGTATGTGGTAGATGTGTGCATGGTGCCTTAATTCCATGCTACTGTGTCTACTATGTTTTCCACAATAATTTGGTATTTGTATCTACTGAATTTGTGTTAAATCGGTTAGTGCACAATAGTCTATAGTCTTGTGCACTATGCGTATAATGAGTGGCCATAAATGCGCTGATTGTGTATACTTAGCAGTGTTTCAGTGGGTGCATCGTATGTTGTATGTTCGTGCATGTCGCCTTAATTCCATGCGAATGTGTCAAAATATGTTTTTTATTCTGTTAGCCTACGTAGGGACTAACGTAGTACAAAGCGGGTGCGTAATTATAGTTGCGGTTTTTAACTCCAGTACTAATAATACGAACCATTACGTAGGTGGCATAAGCATGGAAGAAGGAGGGAAAAGCCAACACTGTGTGATGGATGAATCCCAAGACGGTACGAGCATTTGGTTTACGGAATGCGACCCAGCGATAAAACCAGTTGTCGATCAAGTGTTTGATACGTTGGAAGATGGCATCGCGTACTACAAGACATATGCATCCGTAACTGGGTTTGATGTGCGCAAGAGTTCCGACATTAAGAACAGGTATGGGATCATCCTCAAGAAGAAACTAGTTTGCAATCGTGAAGGGTATAAGGATGCAAAACCAAACACCACAACAGACCAAAATAACACCACACAAACAAAACGACGACGCCCGTCTAACAGAGTTGGGTGCATGGCGAAAATAGTTTTCAGAAGAAACAGTACAGGACGGTACGTGGTCAAGAAGTTTGAAGAGGGGCACGCCCACTGTTTGTGCGAGGAGAGTTACAAACCTTTCCTGAAAGGGAACAGAAAAGTGGATATTGGACACCAACAATTCATCGTGAACTGCTCAAAAGTCAATATTGGGGCTAGTAAAAGTCATGACCTGTACGCCGAGATGGTGGGAGGAGTTGAAAACGTGGGAGCGACACAACAGGACTTCAAGAACTATAGAAGGGAGATTTTGGCATACATGCAAGGAGGAGATGCGCAAATGGTAATATCCAAATACCTCGATCTCAAATCGGACTATGACGATATGTATTTCGAATACGAGGCAAACGAGAATGACCAGCTGGCACGTGTTTTTTGGGCAGACGGTATGGCAAGAAAGCAGTATAGTGTTTTCGGAGATGTTGTGTCATTTGATGCTACGTACAAAACTAACAGGTACGCACCTCATTTACGGGCTGCATTAACGTTGGTGCGTGAAGATGGTTTAACGCCTACTGGAGTGCGTGTACGGGCCGTCGGTCTGTGCATTGCACGGCTATAGATATGAATGGATCAGACGATTGGTTACATTAAAATGCTAATAAATTTATTGATTACATATTTCACAGTACACAGCCCTAACTTTAATATTTTCCACACAATATATTCCTATAATTATATTTATTTCACAGTATGAAACCCTGTGCGCTACATGCGTATTAATTAACACGTTTCCTCGTGACCCCAGGTACAATCTCGTGTTCGTCCCATTCACCGGCATAGACCACCATAAAAGATGCGTAACATTCGCAGCAGCACTGATTGCCCGTGAGGATGTCGACTCGTACCGTTGGATACTAAAGAACTTTAGAAACGCAATGGGAAGCACACCACCACTCACAATAACCGACCAAGACCCGGCGATGAAGGTTGCTATTGCACAAGAATTCCCAGAAACCCGCCACCGTTACTGTATGTGGCATATAATGTCGAAGGTCACCGATAAAGTGAGTCCTGAATTAGCAAAAAATGAAGCATTCCGAAGAGAGCTGAATGATGTTGTTTGGAATGACAGCTTGACTACCCCCAAACTTGAGGTTGCATGGAAAGCGATTATAGAAAAGTTTGACTTAATTGAAAATACATGGCTAAACCGCATGTACGACGAGCGTGCATCGTAACAGCATTATTAACCCTCTCGAACTTCCAACGCCATTGCATAAGTTCGTCGCTGATATCGTCTTTATCCCTTTTGAAGATAATAGTCTCACCGGCGGGCAGACCTAACACCAGATGCACATCTGCTTCCGTCGCCCGAATAACAGCCCCATTCTCCACGCGCAAACACATATCGTCATGATCAAAGTTTTCAAGCAGCCACCTTGATAGCGATTTCGGAATGTCATGCACGTCAAGATTGAACAGCGATCCCAACCCCAGTTCAAACACAGCTCTCCGCTGGTGGGCACTGAATCGCCTCATTGCTTTCACAAGATGCGCGGGCGAAGCACGGATCTTCAACGCCGGAAACAATCCACGGTCGACTTCGTCAGGCTGTACATCTGAATCATCCGAATCCGCGGGTTGACGTGCCAGCTCAATTGGAATTTCGCCCGCATCCGCCACTGGAAAATCTGACCCCACTTCTGCCGCATCGTCAGGCGCGGCAGTCTCGTGCAAAACTGTTCCCCCATCTGCCGCAACCCCCGGCGCGTCAACCACAGGCAAAACTGCCACCCCATCTGCCGCACGCGCGGGCACCGCAGCAACATCAAACGGCACTGCATTACATACCACACACAATACAAAATAAAACAGACCAACCATATTACAACCACAATCCACATTAATCCCAAAAAATCCAACACAACAATCTAAAAGAAACCTAATCCCCATATGCACAACAACCTAATCCGAACGACCCTAAAATGCACAAACCAAACACTATCAAAGACAACAAAACACACAACCCAAAAAAAAAAAAAAAAAAAACCTCGTTATCATTAAAGCCATACGACACCAACATACCATCACTGTACAACCAATTTAAAAAATCCTGCTTATTCCAAACTGATTTCAATTTCCAACAACATTGATATGCATTCAACAGATATGCACCAACCATCAATACCAACATCCAACACCAAAAAAAACAAACAAAACAGTTTTAACATTCTAATAATCTAACAAAACAATTATTTATTTTTCTTTTTATGGACTGATCATAATATACAACCAATGACAACAAAAAAAATGCATATATCTATACCTACGTATCCCGTACGCGTCCAAAATAGAGTTAAATATACATTCACAATAGATGCACTCACATTAATCATACACAACAACCTAGCAAACATAATACGCACACACTCCACATTAATGTGAGTGCATCTATTCCAAACTGATTTCAATTTCCAACAACATTGATATGCATTCAACAGATATGCACCAACCATCAATACCAACATCCAACACCAAAAAAAACAAACAAAACAGTTTTAACATTCTAATAATCTAACAAAACAATTATTTATTTTTCTTTTTATGGACTGATCATAATATACAACCAATGACAACAAAAAAAATGCATATATCTATACCTACGTATACCGTACGCGTCCAAAATAGAGTTAAATATACATTCACAATAGATGCACTCACATTAATCATACACAACACCCTAGCAATCTAAAACTCCCATTAATCCAAAAAACATTAATCCCAAAAAATCCAACACAACAATCTAAAACGAACCTAATCCCCATATGCACAACAACCTAATCCGAACGACCCTAAAACGCACAAACCAAACACTATCAAAGACAACAAACCACACAAACCCAAAAAAAAAAAAAAAAAAAAAAAAAAAAAAAAAACCCTTAA